CACATTCATGTTAGGTTTGTCACGTCTCCAGCTTACCTTTTCAACCAAAACATAGTATCATTTAATTTTGCCTCTTTATGAAATATTTGCCTGCTTTTAAAGAGATCAGTTTCATTTAATGATGGTTTGTCTGGTTGTGTCTCAACTCAATTAACAGACAATTTAGTCTGCCAAGTACCAATTTATAACCACTTCATAGAATCACAGAATCATATAATAGTTTGGGTTGGAAGGGACCTCTAAAAATCATCTAGTCCAACCCCCCTGCAGTGAGTAGGGACATCTTCAGCTAGATCAGGCTGCTCAAAGCTCCATCCAACCTGACCTTGAATGTTTCCAGGGATGGGGCTTCTACCAGCTCTTCGGGCAACCTGTGCCAGTGTTTCACCACCGTCATTGTAAAAAATCTCTTCCTTATATCCAGTCTAAATCTGCCCTCTTTTAGTTTAAAACCATTACCCCTTGTCCTATCGCAACAGGTCCTGCTAAAAAGATTGACCTCATCTTTCTCACAGGCCCCCTTTAAGTACTGGAAGGCTGCTAGAAGGTCTCACCAGAGCTTCTCATCTCCAGGCTGACCAACCCCAACTCTCTCAGCCTGTGCTCACAGGGGAGGTGCTCCAGTCCCCTGATCATCTTCATGGCCTCCTCTGAACTCACTCCAACAGGTCCATGTCTTTCTTGTGCCAAGGACTTCAGAGCTGGATGCAGCACTGCAGGTGGGGTCTCACCAGAGCAGAGTAAAGGGGCAGAATCACCTCCCTCGACTTGCTGACCACGCTTCTTTTGATGCAGCCCAAGATACGATTGGCCTTATGGGCTGCGAGTGCACATTGCTGGGTCACGTCCAGCTTTTTGTCCACCAGTACCCCCAAGTCCTTCTCAGCAGGGCTGCTCTCAATCCCTTCATCCCCCAGCCTGTGTTGATACTGGGGATTGCCCCGACCCAGGTGCAGGACCTTGCACTTGGCCTTGTTGAACCTCATGAGGTTCACAAAGGCCCCACCTCTCAAGCCTGTCCAGGTCCCTCTGGATGGCATCCTGTCCCTCAGGTGTGTCAGCTGCACCACTCAGCTTGGTGTCACCTGCAAACTTGCTGAGGGTGCACTTGATCCCACCATCTATGTCATTGATGAAGATATTAAAGAGCACTGGTCCCAGTACGGACCCCTGAGCGATACCACTTGTCACCAATCTCCATCTGGACATCGAGCCATTGACCACTGCCCTCTGGATGCAACCATCCAACCAATTCCCCAGCCACCAAACAGTACACCCATCAAATCCATATCTCTCCAATTTAGAGAGAAGGATGTTGTGTGGGATCACGTCAAAGGCCTTACAGTAGTCCAGAGAGACAACATAGGTTCTGCCATAACTGAATTAACAAGCTCTTTGACTACACACCAAGAGGGTTTAACAACATTTAGCTCTGAGGAATATTTATCTGCCAACTTTATGATAAAAAATCAGTAAAAGGATTTGTCCATCAAATATTTCTAACAGTTTTTCCCTTTGTGAAAACATATGCAGACAAATTTGAATCCTGTGCTGTTTGAACACTGTAATTACAGAAAACCCATAGCTGTAAATGCCAGAATTTGTAATGAAAACTCCAGCCAGGAAAATATTTTTTCCAGTGGGATTTTCATGAAGCTCTTCTTGTCAAGCAAGAGTTTACTCTTGTTTTACTAAAACAAGAACTTCAAAAAAATTCAGACACCTGTAAGATTACTGTTCTTAAAGAATATATGCATGTGTGGGTATAGGGTTTTTGTTTGTTTGTTTTGAGGATTGGGGAGGGGGGGCTGAGGCTTTTTTGGGGGTTGTTTTTTTGTTTGTTTGTTGGGGTTTTTTTAGTTCGGCTATGTGCACAACAGACTTTAAAAACAATCCAAAATGTACAGAGCCTCAGAACAGAAGAGGCAAAGGATGATTCTGGATTTCAAAAAAAACAAAGAATCTTGTTTGAAAAACTGTCACAAGTACTTTAAAACCTGACTCTAGTTTCTCATCCTTGGACTTTTTATACATTCAAGTCAGTGACTTGGAAGAGTCTAGATATTCCAGTTTAGGCTCGTATCACAGCTACTTTTACATGAAGACACCGGTCACTCACGACACACAAAAAAAAATGTATTATAAACACTTCAGGTACACACAGGCTCTTTATACCAACTACCCTTCCAGGACTGCATATTCCTGAAGCAATTAAAATTAAATTATCATAGTTTTAAAAGGCTGGTTCTACAAATAATCCAGAGCACACACCTCAGGAGACTGAGGTGTTGTGTTTTCTTACTATTAAGCTGAGTAAACATTAGTTCAACTTAAATTTATGTCCCATGTGAAGCTGGGAAGGTTTCAAGCATTTAATTGCAAGATAAAATTTCAAAACCAAATAAAAATAATTATGTATTCAGATGTATTAAAAATATCTAACACCATAATATATTTTTATGGTCCTTACGCTTTATTAGATTTCCCAAAAATCCAATTCAATTAACAACATTAGCACTAGCAATTAGCATGCTGCCAGGAACGTCAAGATTTGTATCCAAATCTCTCTGCATGGTGTCATTATGACTGTTCATGTACTTCAAAAAGAAGATTAAAAGCATGATTGAAGAGGTTGTTAATGTTTTACATGAAGGTTCTTTCTTTTACTTCATCTGGTTGTACAAAAGCTCATTTTGTTCATCCATCACTTTTCTGATTAGTCTTATGAATAAAGCAATGACTTATGTCTACATACTTCTGTGGTATAACATGACTGCACTCACTTAACAATTAATCAAAGACAATGACATACTTAGGAAGATATCATTTAGTTTTGCTTATCAGTTTCCTTAGCAAGAGCAAATTCTCAGGCTCCTGAAAATGAAATATTGCAACATAAAATGACAGAAATGTCTTGTTTTGATTTACCATAATTCAACTGCCTAAATACACTTTAAATAATTTATTTCCAGATGGCATTAAAAGCTATAAATGATTATTTCTTCTCACTAGCAGTTTAAATAAACTGAAGGCCAAAACCAGTTTTAATTTCGTTTTCTTTTTAGTTAGGATTTTTTTCCCAAGGCTTATACCAAAAAGGGTAACTTTTTTTTCCAGGTACTATGTAGCATTGGTCTACATCATATAGTTGCTTTTGCGTTTTAATTAATTTTGAGTCACATTAAAAACTATCACCACTATAAAATAAAAAGCACTTTATGAAAATAATCTCATAACCTTACCATAAAAACTAAGGGTTAATAAGTTTACCATCTTTTAATACTTTCACTAGCTATATTAAAAAATATGTACAAAGCCCTTTTAAAGTATGCAAGAAAGACTACTAGAGAAATAATTACATGGTATGAAATTACATTAACCCATTATTTTTATGCAAGTGCTCATAACTAAGTAACATCCATCTTACAACTTGTTCCCATTGACTTTAACATTGCAAGGTTAAGATGTAGAAGTAAAAAATGCATGACCATTATACTACTATAAAGTATTCAGATTTAGATGAGAGTTTCTCCTAAGTACATTGCTTTGAAACAACAATCTTCATATTGTGTACAGGCTTAACAAAGACCCAAAAGGAGAAACAGCATTTGCCCTCTCGCAAGTGAGGAACACTTCTGCTGCAGACTTTCAACTGGAAATCTCAAATAAAGCTTACTATCACCTCAGATAAAAAAGACGTTTTAATACGAAACCCCAGTACAGTTTCCCAACTGTTTTAGCTGTGATTAGAATATTTCCTATTAGATAAAAGCAAAGGTTGCATAAATCTCAGCCAATTTCTTGCCCTTTTTTTTTGTGGTCAGTTTGTGCAAAATCTGTGAGGTCCAGACTTAAACCCACAGAGATCCACAAGAAAAACTCAACCGTATGCACTTTGGGAGAACTCAAAACACACTGCAGGGGAAAAAAACAGCAGGAGGTCAACTCTCCCTGTATAAGACTCCTGGATTTTCTCAAAAGCTGAAGGATTTTACCTGTCCACTTTCTCCTACTGCAGTCACAGTAGTCAAGTCTGATACACCTCTTTCACATCCACCGGGCTTACAGACGGCTTGAAATCCTGCTTAGCCTCATGCTGTAAGACAGAGCCCAACTCCGCAAAGGGCTACCAGCCTGACTTCTGAGAGAAGTATACAGGTACATGGCACTCCTTGATCTCAGCATTGCCAATGGTCTAAACATTTTTAAACCCTAAATACTTAATTTTTGTGCAACATTGATGAGCTTTTTGGTGTTGGGGGTTTTGTTGTTGTTGTGGATTTTTGTTGTCCTCAAACTCACTGACATGCAGGTGAAGAAAAAGGCATTTGGCTCCCTTGACAGTCAAAGCCTCATCACAGTTAAATTGTACATAGAGCCTTATGCAGGACAGAGTACTGCTTTTCAGCTCCTTTGGCTCAGTTACGTAGCCTCCAAACAAAGGAAAAATCTTGAGTATTTGGAATTTATTTTTAAACTTGCTCACAACCAAATGCAACTGCAAAATTCCACATCCACATAAGAAAAAAGGCAAAGCTTCTACATATACTCAGAATTAACTTCCATCAGCTACAAATGTTGTTACTTTACACATACAATCAACTGTGGGGATAAAGCAAAGTGTAGGCTATTTAACCATTGCACAGCCAAGAGTCAAAAGGGTAGCATTAAGGGTTTATTTCAGAGCATTCAGACTCACGTTCCTATAATTATTAGTACTTAAGAGTTAAGAGTTGTTATTCCCCTCAGCAACTCCTCTACTAAATGAAGTGGATTTTTGCAAATGAGACGCTGCTTGTCTTTCAGTCACAGCATAACACAGTCTAGGCAATAAATTCTTTCCTACTGTGTGCTTTGCAATTACAATTCCTCACCAATATCATAACTCAACACAGTAATAAAAAATAATCAGTATTTATCTAGTGCCTGTGGATTAAAACTTTTCTTACGCTGTTGAGGCAAAACAGAAGTTAGCTGGTTTTAGAGGTTATGAAACATACCCAGACAAGGAGCAACAGATTTCTTTTCACTGTTCCACAGTAGCCCAGCATTCCAACTATGATGAGGAAACAGCAGACTGCAATCATGACCGGGTGGACCACAGGAAAGTAAGTCAAAATGACAGCCTCCTCCACCCTAAAACCAATCAGAACCATAATTTAAAAAAACAAACAAACAAACAAAAACCCACCATAATTGCACAAAAATTATGCAGAAATAAAACGTAATATAGCCATTAAACCGAAAACGGTGGATTAGCATATATGCTCTTCCCAGCACCTTACATGTTTCACAGAAATCTCTTCTACATGGTTTTACAGCCAAATGCTGCATTCAGGTACCAGAAAGTAATGTGTCATCCAAAATCTCTTTGGAGCAAAGATGATCTTCCTGTCCTGCATCTGCACAGCATGCAGCACAATGAAGCCCTGTTCCATCTCTAAGGCTCATAAACATTGCTGTAATATAACTAACAGCATTCCTAAAGCTCCAGTCTGAATAAAGTATTCAAAACTAAACAGTAATATAATATGGTTACATGTCGGCAAAGGCCCAAAAATTGATCCCTGTCAGAAGAGAAAGGTGCAGGAACAAAACAAGATTGAACTTGTATCTTTCCCCCTTCTTTAATTTCGACCGATGCCAAAAACGGTGGCAAAACCACACATTTCAACAAAACAATAATTAGCTCAACTGAAGGCTTCTTAATTCTAGAAATCCTAATTAGCAAACCTGCCATACAGAATGAACACCATCTACCACAATCAATCACCCACACATTAACAGGTTTAAGGAAAGCTTTACCTTGTTTCTGCAGTTAAAGTGAGAACATTATTCAGGTAGTCTCTCATCCAAGCAGAAACACCTAATACGCTGATGGACATCAACTAAAAATAAAAGATGAAGTTATTTATCACGCATTTAAAAAGAATTGCAAGATCAATTTAAGTAGAGGATCAATCATCAATTCATTTATCCAAACAGCATACCGTCCCCAAAACTGTACTTCTATATGCTTAGAGTTGGTTTGTTGCCCAAGTATTTAGGGAGTCAGAGACGATAATCTTCTCTTCCAGGAAGCATAATTAATGCCTGGAATACCTTCTCTTCCACCCAGTGATGCCACTGCTGGCTCAAATCCTACCACTGCATAAAGTACTGCAGAAAAAAAAGGGAGGGTTTATGCAACTCTTTCAGGGCTCACAGGTGGTATCCCCCAGTCTGTACAAAACCATGAAGCCACGCTCAGGTACACAGTCAGTGAAGAATAATCTGAAGCCCCATACAGGATACAACAGTACTGATACACTGACACATAGGAGAGGAGACTTATCTTCTGGTTAAATTTAGAAAAATCTGATACTCTCGCTCATTCAGACAGTGTCACACCCTGAACACTATGGCTCAGTCTCCTGGACTGTAAAATGACAATACAACTCACTGCACTTCAATTATAAACCCCAGATCATTAAAGCGTTTGGGTACCTAACCTGCTAGGCACTTGAGAGGCATAAAGCCACTATGCTTTCACCAGGACTGCTCCTACAGCATGTAAATCCCTGAGACTGAACCCACCTAGAATTGCCACCACCTCAGCAGACCAGGATTTCTGTCACCTGATGCCATCGTGCATTCCAGCACACCTGGGATTTACCAGTAGAAGCCCCGGCCTCTGATTTTCTTGAGAAGCCAAACCTGAATGACGTGGTCAGGAGATACCTGCCACACCATGACAGCACCACCTCTTCTGCTGCTGTAGCTGAGGTACAGCTAGAGGACAGGGCACTGTTCTTGGCACTTGGCCATGTATTTTGCACTGGGCTAGGAAAGTCAGTACGCCCTTTCTCCTGGAGGAGGGCTCATGGAACAGCAGTAGTCATCCCCACCTTTGTGCATGTTCTCTGGCCCCAAAAGCATCACATCTCCTCCTGCACGCACAGGACAGACAAGAGCACACTTCTCAAACAGAAGGTGAGAGATACAGCTATAAACTCCTTTAAGGAGAGGAAGGAACCACTAAGCTTTTGTACAAAATGGAGCAAAGTTAAGGTTACTGATGCCACTGCTTTCTTCTCAAACCATTTCAGGAAATTCAGATGGTTTACTACACTCAAAGGAAAATTTAGGACTATCAGTCTCACATGGGCACCTAAGTCTGAACCAAAGCTCAGGGGCTGAACCTGGCAGACTCAGGACTTCAGAAGCACCACTGTCGAGGGAGACACTGGCTCTCCTGAATACCAATGTTTTCATGCATTGTATAGGTGTATGCCAGGAAACCTCAGCATTATACTAACAGCTTCTTAAATCAGTGAGAAGTGCTAATCTCCCCTTGTGGCCTTCAATAGCTAGCTTCCCACACACGCTCATATTTCCCTAAAGTTGTTACAAAAAACAAGTTAACTGGTTCAAACCTAACATGTAAGAAAAATTGCTCTGGGGCCTTACCGGCTCCTTTGCCTGCAGCCCACCCACAGCAGGCTATTTCTGCCTTTAAAATTTCATGAGAAGCCCAGTGGCTACCCTACATCTTCCTCCTGCTTTTCAAAACTGATGCACAAAGTACAGGTACTGCCTTGGTTCTGGGTGGTGCCAGCAAGAGCCCTGAAAGCTAGAGCATGCTACAAGTCTGCTGCATACACGTATGCCCTACAAACTCTATGGGATTCATTTTGGCTGGCAGAACAGCAGGAGTAAAGAGTGTTTTCTGCAGAAAGCTGCAGAAGCAAGGAGACAATGACTAGAAGCTCCTTCTAGATAAACTCCTCGACAATGGCTACCTCCTTGTAAGAAAGCATCAGGCAAACTCCATACAAGCAATAAAAACCACGTTTCTAACACAAAGAGAGGTGAAGAAGACTACAAGCAGACAGCCTACTTCCTTATGGTCAAAAAGCAACCGAAAACATTTTTAACCCTCCACATGTCCCTGCAAGGCCTGCTGATGCACACAGCGAAAGTGTTAGCTCACACTTCCAGTCTGTTTATAGTAAAATACTTAAGATAAATGGGGTTACTTTGCTTCACAGCAGTGGTGCTCAGGACTGAGGAGACCATCAAAAGCACACTCCTTAGCAACTTTTAATAACAGCCAAATGGTTCTCCTACAAAAACCATACCAGAAAAATGTTCACTTGCTAAATAATATTCTTCCTCCCATACCAAACTGGTGGGCTGCCTAGCACCCACTCCCCATTAGGAACTTGCAGGCTGCACTTGTTTTCTTTCAGCCTTCAGTAAGCAGCAATACATTCCCGTACAACAATGAGAAGAGGTGGATTCCTTGGAAGAAGACAAGAGATTGCTTCTTCAGCAGAGGTAAGATAAGGCAGGCAAAAGAGTCACCACAAGGATAGTGGAGCCTGCAAGTTACTCAGAGACAACAGGGAGATGGCAGAGCAACCAGCTAAAAGGCAGAGGGGACAAAAAGGACTGCTAGAGACCAAAAGAAATTAGCGGAGTCCTGCCACTGAGAGAATCATTCGGTTTGCTACAAGGAAGGACTTGCCTACAAAGGTGAATCAGGAAAGAGAACTTTTACTTCTGCTGTTAGTTGAGTTTTATCTACCTAGATAGGTATTTCTGCCGACACAAAATCAGTGAAGGGAATGACTAGGCAGATACTTCTCCAAGCCATGGCCCACACATGGCCACACGACTTCTGCAGAAACACTTAATGACCATATCATGGAACATGACTTCGCTTTCACTTATCATGAAGAGCAACAGGAAGAAAAGGACTGCTTCCTTTTATCTAGGAAACATAACCTTCACCAATAATTTAACTACATGAACACTGTTTCAGTTCATAAGAACAACCTCTCTATGAAAGGTCTCTCACTTCATTGAAAAAGCTTTTAGCCATTGAGGTCCCCCGCCTGTCCTCCTTCAGCGTAAATAGCTAACAGCCAATTACTACTGTTTCTTGCTGGACATAAATTACATGCAAGAAAATTCCCTCTGTAACCCCTTGGAGAGCCAGGCTACAGCTCACTCACTCTGTGCCCTGAATGATCTCACCATTAACTCCTTCAGGTGTTCCTGACTTCTGCTAAGCTTACAACACATGTATTGTATCAACACAGGAGCTAGCCCAGCATTACTCTGAAAACTACATGCACAATGCCTTACCTCGCTGCTACACAGATTACCTGTGCAATACCCTCCTGCCAACCAGACAAATTCCTTGGGAGGTACCGTTGGCACCTTATTTTGAAGAAAGTCCAAAGTGAATTATTACTCCAAATTACCCAAAAGCCAGAGTGCTGTGACACACTGGATTCATGTCCGGGAAAGTCAGTGACACTGTCAAACTGGGGTGGCATAAAGACATGGCTCAAAGAGAATAGGCAAATGCTCAAGAAGCTCCTCTTAAAGAGGCCCATGGAAGAGTAAACCGTGATAACTCAGAAAAGGAATTCAGCAATAGGTTGATTACAAAACGTATATTTTAGAGCACATAACCCAGCAAGTGCTTGGCAGCTCTTCAGTAGCAAAGGGAAGTGTTAGGAAAAAAAATCATATGCCTTCTGATGAGCACAAGTGAGCCTCTGGGCAGGAACACCCTGCAGGATGAAAGATGTGTTTGGAACACCAAACTGCCCTGCATAATAATGACTGATGTTTAGCTTAGTGCAAAAGATTACCAAGCACTAACTCATAGCCATCAATCGACTTGCTCACCTGCTCCACAGCCACAGGAGAATCACGGTGAGAACACAACATGCACACCTGAGCTCCACAGCCTCCTGCTTACGACTCAACACGTGCAGTGCTGCCCTGTAAAAGCATTAAGCATCCTCAAGTGCCAGCTGATAGCAAGGAGGCTCCAGGCACCCACCACTTCACACCACCTACAGCAGAAGCAGATCTTCAGCCAGAAGCACAAGAATTCTACTAACACCAGCAGTACAACTCAGCCTATGCACTCCATAGGCAGGAACAATAACAACCTACCCAAAACCTTGGTATGCATCCAAACCTACCATCAAAGAACAGCAGTCACATGGCTGCAATTCACTGCCACACAATTTTCAAGGAGTCATGTGCAGGGGCAAGGTCCCGATTACAGTTTTTGTTGGTTCATTTGGAGGATGAAAAAAAGGGCAGCCTTAAAAAACTGGCAGCCTCTACTTCAAGAGTAGTTTTGTAACTAATTTAGATGTAAAATACAGTTAAAAAACCTGTATCAAGCAATCAGACGGAAGGACACAAGCTTATGAGAAATAAACCCACCAAGATAATTCTCACCACATGAGCAGTTACATCATTTCACCAAAAGGTTTTCATCCAAGCTTCTCTGATGACAGCCAGTCTGCTGTGCTGTAAACATAATATAATAGTAGGCAGTAAAACATATTTATTTGTTGCAGCTGGCTGCACAAGTCACTATGGGTTTCATTCTAAATTGTCACAGTATGTTATACAGCCATCAACACAACACTGAAGAGTTTACAAAACTGCCTGCTGTCATAGTCTATTTTATTTTCACACTGATTAAACAAAGATATTAAATGATATTTTTATATGATCAATATGCAGATCACAACAATATATTAAATTTCCAAACTAATTTATCATGTAAAGTTTTTAAAGCTATTAGAGCTTTCACTGACAACTGAATTACAATACCAACAATGGACTCAAACTATTAGGAGTGGCCATTTCCAAGTAGAGTTTAAATTGTCTTTGGAACTCTAACATAAACTATGCACCAAAATGAAAATACCAAGTCATCTTTACATTTTAAGCCCTTACTGTGGCAGTCCTACTCACAATGTCTTTATGGCCACACCTAAACTGGAAAATAAATCTGCATTTTCAATCATTAAATGAACATGGATTTCTGACTCAGAGAAAGACCTATTCCTGTCGCTATTTGCACACC